ATATTATAGTAGGAAAGCCATAGGATTTTTGGACCTCTAGACTTTAACTATTTACATGGCTGACAGGAATGACCTCAAATTTGACCTTGATATTTAATGAGGGTTTTTGATACAAACACTACAGTTTTGAGGAAGCTTTTCGACAAAGGGAACTAGATATTTGACATGCCACCTAAGCCAACGGGACAAGTTAAATGTTTAAAATGGTTGCATGCATTTGGAAATGTCTTACTGATAGTAATTAGCATTTTTAACTCACATAATATTACAGATGGTTAGCGTGTGTGAAATAATAGTCGGGTCACTTATAATGGCTTGGCTCGGCAAGAATTTATATGCACTTGGACCAGGATTTATAGCAATTCCATCGATTTTGCTAGGGCTTGGATTCGTTGGCATACTTGTGGCGCTCTTAGGACTTTATGGATGCGGTAGAGAGAATGTGTGCATGTTGAAAACGGTAAGACTCGAAACATTATTTATTTTAGAACTAAAATAGTACACAGCACTCGTTATTATATTATTCATCACGGAACTTATTATTGCAATCGTTACATCCGTAGAGAGCAACCGAGTAAGTTGACATAGTCCGTATTATATACGGTATACCAGATTCAATCTGGCGTTGCGACGAGCATGAACATGACGGTATCCGACTACTATAAAAGCGATGTTGCGAAGCTCAAGGCCGACGAAATACAAAGAACAGTAAATTGATTTAGTTTTTTTACAAATAGTTTTCCTGCTGTGGCGCTAATAGTGCTCTTGACTACCCGATAAACAAAACTCCGGATACTTGCTGTTCACAGCCACCATGCAATATAACGGATGCCTTCCAAAAGGTAAATTTTTTGGATATATGTGTTAAACTCTTATATTTTGGTTTTAAGTCATTTATTTCTACGGTACCGCTTAGGCTAAACGAGAAATGAGTTTGCCACGTTGTCTTTTTGTAGTTCCTGCTGTAGCCTGAATTGTAGAGATTTAATTTTTAATTCTCAGATATTGACTAATGTTTTCATTACCTGTCCTTGAAGTCAGAGTTCTGATTATTTTTTATGACGTCATGGCTTTTATTACTTTTTTCGACAAAAATTCTCCTAGTAGCATCGTATTTTGTATATTGATCAAATCATCGTGAAATGTATACCGCAATAAATGTATAAATACAATTGTTTCAATTAACACTTGTCAAAAAGCTCATTATTATATTTTTTCGCTTCCTGTCTAGTTAATTACCAGAAATTGGAGCTTAACTGCGCGCAATATTAATAAAAGACCATAGGCTTTAGAAGGCACCAACCCAAGAATCTTACTAACTGTGTGTTTTCCT